TATGTATTAGCGCTGGTAAAAAGCGCGGCAAAACCGTTGTGGCATTTTTTACAGAATTGTATAGTATCAGATGCCTTTTCGTTGCCGTGTAGACCATCGTGTATTCGACTCATTTCCAAAGTGTAACATTGTTGTCTGCTCTATTTAGTGTTGACATAAATAAAATAGGCAAACCTTAATTTAGAAATGTCATGTCATGTATTCTTCCATGTCATTGGTTTATTGAGGAACTTAGTTCCTAAAGAGCAAAGTCCATTTTGCAAACCAAATCTGATTGGTTGACACAGGAACTTAGTTCCCAGAGAACTCATTAAAAATGCATTTGAGATCTGATTGGCTCATTCAGGAACTAAGATACCTCAAATGTCAAGTACATTTTTAAATGGTGAAGTACAGTTTTAAATGGGATGTGTTAATTTTGCATTTCTGTTTCATATCCGTCCAAGTGAAAGGTTTCAATCATATCAAACTTGTCAATGACTAACCTTCAAGTTCCCAAAAGATGTTTTGGTCTGAAAATCAAAGACATTAGCAAATTAAGAGAGTTAAAAAAAACCTGAGGTTAATTTAGCACTGCAGTCAATCAAGCACCATTCCCTATCTCATGTTCATCTAAAAAACAAGAACACAAACAAACACCAGCTGGGATAGGAACTGCTTATACAAATGCAGCACTAACACATATCCATAAAATCTAGTTCGAAAATTAGTAGGGTTTAGTACTGTCTAAAACAGCCTCAAAAACCTACATGTATTTTCCCTGCAAAACAAGATGTTTCCTGAGTCAGACCACTATAACACCCTTCTCCTGTATTTCAGTAATGAACTTTCATCATGAAAGGGACAGTGGTGTAAAGTTTTCTGCTTAACATAGACCAAGCCAGTACAAAGAGGACGCCCGCTCTTTCTGCTAAAACTACATAGTGAATGATGACTTGAAATTTTTTTTGGTGCACTCCTAAACCAGCCTCACACCTGATGTTTAGAACGAGTTTTGAATATGTTTACTGCTTAATCAGCAGCACAAATTAAATCCAACACCTTTCACTTAAAAATTTTAAAGATGCTGCAACATTTAAACAAATAAACACTGTACTTCAAGAAGATTTTTGATTCAGACCTGAGGTGGAGCTGCTGCTGTAGAAGACAATCTTGTGCCAACCAAAGTACGACACAACGAGTGTAGCTGCCCTCCTTGCATGTTCAAAAACAAATAAACATAAATTAGTCTTATCAATATTATATACCAGGAAAACAATTGTTTTGAACAAAGAATTAAACACAGGAGTTTTTTTTACCATCAAACTCTCAAAATTTGATTGTCAACTCTCCTCCCCGGCTGCTATACATTTCATGACGAATTAATTGGGTGAATTAATTGGGAGAATTTGGTGTTAGATCAAGGTACCAATTTCTACCTGATAAGTTTGGCCATTCTCATTACCTGTGCGCTTAGAGATTACTGTGAGATGGATGTCCTCCCCGGGTGGGATGGTGGGTACAAAGGGGTTAGATGTCAATTGGGACGAAAGTTCTGTTCCTTTCTCCTTCCATTCCCGTGATGAACAAATTAAACTCCTCAATTCCTGAGCACATGCATGTAATTGTAGTCTTCACCATTTCACTCCTGGAGGTGATTAACATGCACTTTCTTCCCACATTATCAATACATTATTTAGAAAACAAGTAACAGAAATTCACAACTAAATTGCAAAATACCCCACCATTCATTTGCATGTCATTGAAAAAGGAATAGCATTTATTGTGTGATGTCTCGTTCTTCAAAGCCTCCTGATACATGCAAATGAGGTGAATCAAAGTGATCAGGCATGCTGAAGTTGCTCCAAGTACTCAAACTTATTAGGTAGACATTGTTTTCATGATCTAACACCAAATTCTTGTAACTTGTTTACAAGGAAATGTGTAGCAGCTAGAGGGGAGAATTAACAGTCAGATCTAGCAAGTAAAAGGGTTAACCATTTGTCTGAGCTGGGTTCAAATATCCATGTTTATTATCCGACTACACTCCGTAGAATACAAATGACACCTAAGACGAGTACAAATGTCACGTACTATTTGTACTCCAGAAAAATTCACGAAATTCACCAACACTGAAATAAGAATTTGGCGTGTTGGATAATAAATCTCTTGTTAGACGTTTGTTACGTGGTATCGCGGAGTATTTCTACTCGTTATTTGTATTTTAACTCGCCCTACAGGCTCGTCAAAATATGGCACAAATCGCTAAAATACCCGGTGATACTGCACAACAAACCTTTATCCCTGATTAGAAAGATCACGCCGTACTATGCCATAATCTCATTTAGAACCATCTCATCATGGACCAGTTATCGCACACGGTATGGAAACAAATATACGAGCTCAAGAATACACCGTTACGAATTCATTACTATGGTTTGAAAATTGTGCATCAGTCTCCAGAACTTTAAAGATCTTCCTTATAGCATGGCAAAACATACCAAAAAATCCAATCACACGATGCAAAGCAGCAAAATATTAAGACGACGCTGAAGATATCCCTCAGACTAAGCACTCCATCTCATATCAAAAGTAAACCTGTTTCGCGAGTGATTACAGTACAGTTGCACTGGTTCTTAAAACTTACCCTGCAGTCCACTTGAGTGCAACCTTGTTAAAGGCTTGGCCATGGTGATGGCTCCTAGTTGATATACAGAAGTTTAAATCTGAACTAACTGGTAAAAAACAGGGACTTCACGAGTCGTAGCTAACAAATTGCATAACCAGACTTCAAATATGGCGATCCAGTCAACAAAGCAGATATGAATGACGGGATATTTTGTTCCAGTACTTTACGGATTAACCCAGCTGCGGGCTCCTGGTGCCAGTTCTCACTGGGTTTCACGCTTAAAATAGGAATTAGGAAAGCTGCAAATATGTTTCGGAAACGAAGTGTGCTTGTGCCTATTTTGTGCACTCCAATACCCCTGGATAGACGACAGATAGAGGCATTAAAGGAGTGGACTGTTTTGTCCAAAAAAGTATCTAGCTAATACAGTACAGTCAGCCAAAACAGAGTGCTCGGTTCCAGACCTCTCGACTTAGCTTCGACTATTTAACCATTGCGCCGTTGCGCCTTGCTCTCTCCAAAAAATCTTTTCTAATTCATCGCTTTGACGAAGGGCTAACACTCGAAACGTCAGGTCTCACTCGATAAAACCAAATTATCCTATTTAATAATTGCCTGTTTTTGCATGATTTGGGCGCGTTTTTGTGCACAATTAATGTTGCATACATAATAAATCTTTGAGCGCGCGGCTAACGAAAATTTGTTTAGTTCCTCCCAAGCAACCGAACCAGTGGAGTGTTTTCTTCTCGCCATTTTTTTAAAGATCGTCCATACGAGGAAATTTTCCTCAAAGTTTCTTATCACACGTGAACTGAGAATCTTACGAGAACTATTCGTTTATTTCGCATCAGAGTTAATTCTGTTCGCATGAAGTTCTTCTTTGATAAAAAGAAACAATGACGAAAACAATAGATAGCCTTTGGGAATAAGGCTTTTTTGAAAGAAGATTATGGAATTACACGGGAATCTTAAAGGTTTTGGACTCGAGAGCTTAAGAAAGGGTAATATTAAGAACAGTACCTTACAAACACCCTGGACCATAAACATGCTGCATGGATTCGTTTGACCATCGCTACCAGTACTGCAGTACGTACTGCAGTTTATGTTGGAGATTTAGCAACCATGCACAATCTTTTATATTTAATTTCATTCACTCATTGAGCGACGAAAATGAGTTTTTTGGGATGTCTAAAGTTGTAAGCTATGTGGGCTTCAAAACAAGAACATTAGCACAAAAACACAAACTAAAAGGGCATAGGCTTCTGCTATCACTCAATTAAGCTCCCAAAGTTCTCAGATGTACTTATCCTTAATGCAATGTCACGGGCCTATTGTTTTACTACAGCTGGACATTTCTTTAATTAGGTCAAGTGGCTCAAAAGGATTGGAAATCTGTCGAACGTTCTGCACGAGCAAGTCAAAGAATTGTACGCAACTTTGTGTGCCGTCCGAAAAATGGCTGGAAAACAGGCAATGCAAGGTCCTAAAAAGTCCCTTTTTTCATTTTTTTTTTTTTTAAATTGTATTCGACATTTGTGGAAATCAGAAAATGGTCAGAGAACAATCAATTGAGAACCCATTGTGCTCAAAACTGAAATGATAATAATGCGATACAAAAGAGGATTACGTATTACTTTTTTGACATTTGACGATTGTTCTTTTTTGTGTGTGTTGGTCGTTTGACTTTCTAAGGGACCAGCCTTTATTACCGGGGGGAGGATTTGGGAGGTCACATAGATTTCACAGGGTAGGGAGGAAAGGTCAAACGTCGCCAATAGTCATCCCTTGGTGTACAAAATGAATTCGGCTGTTTGTTGCCCCAGCTACACAATATCGATCTCCTTTCCTCACTGCCTTCCACTTGTTCTACGCCATGTCTGGTCTTGAAATAAATCGACTGACGTCACCAGAAAAAGTCACGTGGTTTTTTGGCCGTGCGTCCTTGCAACAATTTACAGGCCAGAATAGTAGTATTTTTGAGCGCAAAAAGCGGCTCCACAAAGTTTTAAACCTTGGAATAATTTTTTTACATATATCAAAGAGACAAAAAGCGGCGGAAGACATTTCGGGTCCTATGTACTTTAACAATGGAAGAAAAGGGGGCGAGTCATAAGATTACTAATAAGCGTAATGCAACGAAAGAGAATCATTCGTCAAGGAATTCTATGCATTTTTGAAATACAATGATAAAAATTCCAAAAAAGAAAACAAAAGTAATTTTACACCTTGGACAAACCTATAGCCCTGCATATCTTGAGCGACTTCATTCAACGCTTGCAAGTGATCGGAGCAAGTCTACCAAAACACAAATTATCCTGAAAAACGACGAGACAAACTTTCCAGGTAGCTGTCGTGGTTACTGCATTTCTGCTGGTCATTGTATGAGCTCGGAAAATTCCAAGTGCAGGACATACGCAAGATTCTCCACAGGCAGCCCAAGCTCACTACGAGAAAAGCGGACGTGACTCTTACCGTGTTGCGTAACGTTATATATTTATAAAGGTTTGTATGGGATGTTATCGGTTTGCCTTAAAAGAGAGAAAAAAATGTCTTGTTTTGAAATAAAATGGGCTCAC